CATTATACAGCGCAATGGAGAATACCACCAGCTATAGAGGACTACAAATCCCAGCAATAATACATTATATACAGCGCAATGCAGAATAACGCCAGCTACAGAGGACTACAAATCCCAGCAATAGTACATTATAGTATAATGTACTATTGCTACATTCCTCTATAGCTGCTGGTATTCTGCACTGCGCCGCTGTATAATGTACTATATTGCACACCACACTTTTTTTTTTTACTTCCACCGCGCCAAGCTTGCTCCCGTGATGGACTACAAGCTTAACACAAACTAGTCGTCAATCACTGGAGCCTTTTTTTTTTAATCCGATTAATCGAACTTAATAATCGGCCAACTAATCGATTATGAAAATAATCGTTAGCTGCAGCCCTAGTAATGTGTGCCTTACTGTAATCCATGGTTTTTTCCCTTGTCTTTGCTGCTCTTCCTTTTTAATCTGTATCTCTTCTCATGCTGGGGGAGAACTTCCCTTTGCAGCTGAGTGCCTCTTCCTATAGTGCTGGCTCAGGTTGTGAACCTGCACACGGACACCATGTATCCATTTCAGAGACAAGGCAGTCTGCTGCAAAACAGATGTTCTGCCCAGCATGAGAAGAGATACGGATTTAAAAAGGAAGAGCAGCAAAGAGAAGGGAAACAACCATGGATTACAGTAAGGCACACATTACAGTATTGGTTTAGGTTAAAAAATCTGAGGGTTTAAGGTCACTTTAAGTACTGCAGACAACACATAATTGTCCAAGTCTAAAATATCTTCTCTCCTGGGCAATTTAAAAGGAGCCAATCAGGGTAGAAATATAGAAATCATAATGCCAACTTGTTTTTGAAAGTGCTTGCTCCAGCGCTGTCCTCCATATCCTTCCTTCACTAAAGCCACTGACCCGAAATATCAGAAGATAATAAGGCGCCTCATTTTCACATGCTTTCCTGGTACTCAGCAACTCTTCAAGAAGGGAAGATATATATGCACCTTCAAGGACAAGTCCGCAATGGCAGCACTCACATTTTTATCATGTCAGATTACCTAAGATTGGGCTTTTTAATCTGAAAACAGCCTCTCTGTGTGGAAGAACCTCTATAACTAGATTTTTACATGTTTGGCCTCTTGGTGTAGTTTTGAACAGATTTTAAACTGCACCAGGTTGTGATGTGAATGTAAAAATAATTCTTAGTGGAAACTCTCCATCAGCAAAAAGAAGATCTCTGGTGTAGTACAATATGGATGCCAGCTTTGTGCATGGTGTCCGTTTTATTGCATAGAGTATCAACAGCTATAGTTTTAGGTTATGGTTAATATTGTACTCATGAAGCAATAATGTAGGATATAGAAATCGTCAGGAGCTATACAAATGTGATGTGTACAGCAGAACTGAGCATACAGTTGCAGACCGCAATACCCACATGTAGTTTTTCTGCTAAATGTTTGTAAACCATATATTAGCTTTCATTAACACTAGTGTGATTTGTCATGTGTCGGTCATCATGCTACAATGCACAACAATGGAAATCATATTATTCCCTATGATGCTCATTCACACCTATACAACATGAGTGTAATTTTTGAAAAGGTGGAAAGGTGGAGGTACTTTTTTTTTTGGTGCTACACAGTGGGGAGGGGGGGGGGGGGGGGGTGTTTTAAAAGGCTGGGG